GGAAGTCAGAAGGACCATAGTTAGGTGATGGAGGACGAAGGGACTGTAGTCGACGAGCTACTAAGATCGAAAGGACCATAGTTGGGTGACGATGGTTCGAGGAACCATTGTCGAGTGATGGAAGTTAGAGGACAATGAAGGTTAAAAGAGCCATAGTTGAAGGACGTCAAAGTTTATAGGACCATTATCATTAATACCAAGTTTAGTCATTAATCAATAATAAGAGATTTTATATGAAATTTATGTAAATATCAGAAAGCTTTTATGTATTATATCTCTAATAATTAAAATATTATATTTATATAATATAAATTATTATTATTGATTTATTTAAAATACTATAAATATGACACATGCCTTAAACCATGGCTTTCAAAAACCGGCGGAGATATTTGCGCCGGAACATGCGCCGGAAACTAACGGTTCCGTCGGATTGTGCATTGTTTCCGGCGGATTACGTCCGCCGGTAATAACAGGTTTTCCTGTAGTGCCGGTTCAACCGTTGTAACCGTAAACCGGCCGGCCAGCCGGTTACGGGCTGGCTAAAAGCCGCTTCCACAAAGAACCAGTCTCGGACCGTTCGAATCGCCGGTTCGACCGGCGAACCGGCGAACCGAGACCTATTTTAGTAACCAGCCGGTTCGAGCTATACCGCTTTTGAGCCATCCGAGTTAATCTGATGGCAGAGGTTAAGGATAGGCGGATAGCTCATAAAAAATAAAAACCGAGAAACCTTATTCATTCATTTCATTTCAATTTTACGGTTCGCCTCCTCCGGCCCTTCCCTCACGACTCTTCCTCCATCCTGCCATGACGCCGTCGGCATTAGTTGTTGTTGCATTGCGATTTGCGAAGAGCCAAAGCGATTGAAGGCTTCCTTCGCTTGATTAAGATCTCCTCTCCTACCTATAGTAAGTTTTTCAATTTCTTCTCATTGCATTCGGTCGGCACATGCATATTTGGTCCGATCATGATCTTTTATCTTTGCAAAATGGCTTTTTATTAACTCCAGAATTGTTTTTAGTTTCAACTTTCAACTCAAATGTTTAGGGCTTTTTTTAATCCAGAATTATGATCTTATTATTCTAATATATTTTCTGATTTTCATGAGTTATGTTTGATATTTGGAGAAAATATATTATGCAAGGTAGTAAACTCAAACTCCTTCCAACTGAAAAATTAGATTCACAAGTTAATCATGCTCCTTCCAACTTAAAACCAGCAGAGCAATTTCAGATAGAGATTGACCCATGTGGAATGTGGTCGCCAGTTAGAAAATCACACTCGGGAGTAAAAAGACCAGGGGCATTTAGTGTATTTTTTATCAATTTGTAGTATTTGATAATTTATTTTCAGTAATAAATTTTAGCTTTTTTATTTTTAATTAACTTCAAATCAACTACTTTAAAATAGAGTTTCGAAGCTACTTCATAAGCAGCTTTTGTCTACTAGGCACAAAGGTTACCTCCAGGAATTCATTTTTAAAAAAGCGTGGCCCTTCCTTGCTGACAATTGGCTAGTGAACCCATTATTGGTAAGCTTCTCCAAGATGGTCAACCTACTTAACAAAGAATTTCTTTAATTTTTATAAAATAAAGCATAGGAAATATCAACAAAGGCTACTGCTAAAGTGATGAGATAAAGTGCTAGTGAGATTTATTTTTTCTTAATGAAATCAATAGAGAAAAGATCAATTATGGGAGAAATGTTAGTGATTGGATACTTTAGTCTTTCTTAGTATTATAGTTAAAATGCATATTTCATTTGAAATCATCTTATCCATTCCAGGTTTTGAACGTGCTTTCTTTGCGGAATTCATCTATACTTCTTAAATGTTGGAGACTTTAGGCTGTGGTGGAAGTTAAAGTGATATAAATTTTCAGCTCTTTGAGGTATGCATTATGTGTCATTTTAGCTTTGTGATTTTTTAAATTGCATAGTTTTCTACATTGCATAGTTTTCTACGTTATATTTTTTTACTTTGTAGTTTTCCACCTTGCATAATTTTAATTTTTGTGTATGTGATTTTATTTAGTAAATCAAATTAGAATGGAAGAACCTAGTAATCAGACTTTAGCTTCAACTTATACTGTGCTTGAGAAAGTAGACATTGCTTGGAATCATTTTGCTGAAGTTAAAAGAGCTGATGTGAAGAAACAATTTAAATGTTTATATTATAGTATTTCATATAAGGGAGGAGGAATTAATAGAATGAAATAACATTTAATAGGTGTTAAGTGGAATATAGTTGCTTATAAGAAGGTTCCACATGATGTTTGATATCAAATGTAGGAAAACTTGAAAGAAAATTTAAGAAAAAAATAACAAGCACATGAAGAGTTGGATAGTACTCCATTTCCCATGGATGATGCTATAGATGAAGAGAGAGATTCATGTTTGCTGCCAAAAGCACAATATTCTCAAGCACATGCATCAGAACTAAGTAAAGGAAAAAAGAAAAGCTTCTGATATGGATACCTTCTTTGCCCCCAGAACTACATAAGGTTCCCAACCTTCAATTAAGAGTGTTTTAGCATCAAAGGAAGTAGTGCATCATGCAGATATGGCATTAGCAAGGTGGTTTTTTTATTGCTGCATTCCTTTTAATGCTCTTAATTCAGTATATGCATAGAAAGCTGTTGATGCCATTGTTGTAATAGGTCATGGTTACAAGCTCCCCAATTATCATAACATGAGAGTAAACATACTTAGGGATTGCAAGGAGGAATGCAGGCTGCTCATTGATAGTTATAGAAAAACTTGGAAGGAAATAGGTTGTACACTTATGGCAGATGGGTGAACTGATAGTAGGAGCATAACGTTAATCAATTTTTGATATATTGTCCACGTGGTGTTTCTTTTTTAAAATTAGTTGATGCTTCAGATATCACAAAGGATGCTACCACTTTGTGCTCTTTATTTACTATGATTGTTGAATGTATTGGTCCAGAGAGTGTTATTAAAATAGTTACTGATAATACAACTAATTACAAGAAGGCGGGTCAACTGTTACATGAAAGATTCAGCAATATTTATTGGTTACCTTGTGTTGCACATTGTATGAATTTAATTTTGAAGGATATTGGAAGCTTTCCTCTCATAGAGGAGCTAGCAAAAAAAGCATCAAAGCTGACAATTTTTTGTTAGAATCATATATTCATACTTGCATGGCTTAGGAGAAGGTCAGGTTGGAAGGAGATTGTACGACCTGGAGCAACCCGTTTTGCAACAACCTTGATAACTTTAAAAAGTGTGCATGACCACCATCATGACCTACAAGCACTAATCACAAGCAAGTTCTTTATGGATTCAAAGATATCCAAGACCTCAAAGGGAAAGGAAGTAGTTTCAATTGTTTTAGATTTGAAATTTTGGGATAATTGTCTTATTATTTCAAAGATATCGGGCCCTTTGATTAGATTGTTGCGTATTGTTTATTCTGATGAAAAACCATCTCTTAGATATCTATATGATGGCATGTATAGGGCAAGAAAGACAATTAAAGCTAAGTTCAGAAATGTAAAAAGATCATATAAGCCTTTTACTACAATAATAAAAAGAAGATGGGATGCTCAATTAAGGCAAGACATCCATTCAGTAGCATATTTTCTCAATCTTCATTTTTAGTTTGATAGAGTGAATTATTGTCAAAAGCGAGAAATTTTACAAGGTCTAGTTGAAATAATTAGAAATAAATTCATTTTCTCTAAGTCCACAGTTGTAATAAATGAAGTCAGACTATTCCGTGATAGCTTAGAAAGCTTTGGAAAACTAATTGCACTGATAATAGCGAAAGAAATGCAACATGACAATCCATAATTCTCTCTTTTTACTTTCAATATGTGTATATAGTTATAAAAATATGCTTATTCACTAAATCTTCAAACTTGATAGTATGCAGATGAGTGGTGGAAGATGTTTGGATTAAGTGCTCCAAACTTACAGAAAGTTGCTATAAGAATTCTCAGCCAAACATCATCTTCATCATGATGCGAGAGAAATTGTAGTGTTTTTGAACAAATCCAATCAAAGAGACGGAATTATTTGGAGCATCAATGACTCAACGATCTTGTATATATTCGGTATAATCTGAATTTAAAGAATAGGTAAGATCTTACATTAAATTAATATTTATGTACAAGTGTCAAAGTAAGTAATATGTATAATCTTAACATAAAACTATTTATTTATTTTTTAGGTTTCAACTTAAAAAAAGACATTATGACCCTAAGGACTACACTTGTATTGAAATGGTTGATTTTTGGATACTTGAAGATAAAACAACTCTAGAACTTGACTTATAAGATTTGAAAAATGAGTTATACAAAGAGGATGCAATGTCAATTGTTGAAGAACAAAATATATCATTTAATCAGCCAAGACATTGTAAGTTGATAATGAAATTTGAGTATGTTATGTAATTGAAAGCAAAAATAATATCTTATTTTATATTTCTTATTTGTTGGTGAATCTGACTTAGAGAATGAAGGAGATATAGGCAACACAATAAGGCTCAAGCAATCAGATGCATTTGGGTTTGAACATTTTGGTGAAGCAAGATCTGAAGACTCAACTTATATAGATAGATTTGATGATGCTAATTTAGGAGATCTTTTAAATTATTGAACTAAGAAAGTGAAACTTTGATTTAAATTATGAATATATTTCCTTTTTGTTATAAGTTGGGATAAAGTAATTTTGCATCTTTTTATGATTGGTTGTCTTCAAGTGAAAAATATTGTTATATTTTTCTTTTTTACTTTATATAATATTTACTTTTTATGTTTTATGCATTTATATTCAAATTATATTCATTTTTTGTTATATATTTATAAATAATTGTGTCATTATTATAATATTTATATTTATTACGTCATCCGGTTTCACCCCAGTCGAACTATCAAACCACTAGCATCTTCTTTTTCCGGTTCATTGATCGGTCCGGTTTTCAAAGCCGTAACTTCAAACTTCAATAATCATTAAAAGTAGGGTCATAATCGTCATTCACTTAAATCTCTACGCTCCCACAGCATATCCAGAAAGCAGCGGAGGTAACCGCGCCCTTCCCTCTTCTCTGTCTCCATAACGCACTCTATCTCCTTCCCCCGCCCAAATGGATCGGAACACCGGCCTTTTCCCCTCATCACCGACGAACTCTTCCCCTTCCTCGTCTGATCTCGACACCGAGGTAAGAATAAGTACTCCTCCCTAAATTCAACCATTCCCCCGCTTTCCCCTTGCCTCATGTACATCGCTGCCCCTCGCAGTCCACCGGCTCCTTCTTCCCCGACCGGAGCATGACGCTCGGAACCCTCATGGGCCTCACCTGCCCGGAAATACAGTCCCGGGTCGGGCGGCCACCATTAGCCCAGCAACCCGACTTCGGCGGCCCCACCGACTCCGGCGTCCGGAAGCAGAAGGCGAGACGGACGCGTCGCCGGCGAGGAGGGAGCGCGTGGTGGCGGCTATGCCGTGACGAAGTGGGGCCCACATCGCTGGAGGAGTTTCTGAGGGCTGAGCGGCAAATGGGCGTAGCGGAGGCTGATTTCATATATGGAAGAGAGGAAAACGAGGTGATCGGAGGTGGGAGGATGTTGTTTCAGAATGGACGGGTCCTACCGCCATCGCCGCTGGAGGCTGCTGTGGGATGGCGGCAGAGGGGCAGGCAGGCGCAGCAGGGTGGGGCCAAGGGGCGCCTGCCAGTTTTGATTGCTGGGATTTGCAGTGGCGGAGAAGGGTAGTTTTGTAATTTTGTTGCTGATGTACGAGAGAGCTTAGCATTTAGATCTTTGGTATTTCAAAAAAAAAAAATAAAAATTATCCACGGGTGGTTGGCGGGCGAGCACAGTTGGAAACTTCAATGTTGAGTTCAAATCTCTTCTACTATGACCTCACCTCTTGAGTGGGGCAAAGCAAGTGTGAGCCTGATGCTGGTGGGTGGTCTCGCTAGGTTCCGCCGAGCAATTAGTTACACTGCCAAACGCTCCCTTTAGAGTGACAGTGGATAGATACTCTCGTTCACAAAAAATAATAATAATAATTGTATAGTTGTATTATATTAGCCCTTAGTAATTTGGTAGGTTATGGCAAATCATCATATATTTTTAAAAATTGTACCTATGCTTCATTTGCCTAAACAATTTAATTATTAGAAAAATAAATTATGTTAGGATCCCTTGATATAAAATTTGGGCTTCATTTGAGATGATTTTTTCACTACTTTTTAAAATAATTTTTAGCTCAAAAATATGTTGAACTATAAAATTTTGAACAAAAAAAATGTTTTAAAAAACATTAAAAAATATGTCCCAAATGTAAATATTAGATAAGTGGGCTTGATTATTATTGAATTTATGTTGAGATAAGTGCAACATATGAGATCAAAGAAGTGCATTAATATATCTACACAAATTGATGGAATCCAAGTTAGGCATAACTAGATTTGATTAGAATATATTATTACAATTTTTTTCTATATAAACTAAAAATATTTTTTTTGGCAAAATTTTAGATAAATTTATGATAAAAGTTTACATATTATGCATTCTCATAAATTAGATGAGCAATTTGGTTCAATTATATGACTACATAATTGAGTGTGCTTATATAGTGGGCCTCAATTGATATTTTTTATTTTTAATCTAAAATAATAATTAATAAATCATAAAATATATTATTTAAATTTATAACTTAGAAAAGATACTTTTAAATGATAGTTATTTAGTTTTAAAATTATTGAAATTTTGGCATTTAGCATTAGGAATATTGAATTATGCTCAGGTGAAGATAAGAGAGCGAGAGGGCCTGCGGGTGCACAGGTCCCCCCTTAAAAAGAATTATTATTATTATTATAATTGTTATTATTATTCAATTTTTTTATAAACAATTATAGTTAATCATCTTATTCATATATTTCTCCTTATAACTCTGATTTTTGTATGAAAATAAATTAAAATCTCAAATATTTTTCAGGGAATACTTGAAAATTTAAATTTGTGCCTCAACTAGAAATTTTTTTTTGGCTCCATCACTCTTGAAACTTATGCACTTACATTCAAAAATCCAAATTGTATCTACTTTCTTATAAATTTTTCGGCTTCATTTTGAAATGATTTTCTTATTGTTTTTTAAAGTCATTTTTTTTATCAAAATTTAAATTTTTGCACTAAAAAATTAGTTTAGAAAGGAATAAGGAAATTAATAGATAAAGATAGTTTTCTTTGCTTTCGAGAAAGCTGCAAGAAATAACTGTCTTTCAAGTTCAACATTAAACCAAACTACCAAAGTACCAAACAACCAAATAAATTTTTCATATAACAGAACTTTCCCCAGCATTTGTCTCAAGTTCATTTACTGTTAAAGTAAGGACATCTTCAGTCACAGCTTCAAGCTCAGGATCATGTATAATTGCAACAAACCAACAAATAATAATATGTTTTTAATAATTCAGCTCTTAATTACTAAAGAAAGTGCAATTATATAAGTAAAAGTTTAGAAAACTGCACCGAAAGAAAGTTAACCAAAAAATCAAACCATTGAGGCGATGAGCCGATGAGTCGATGACGAATAATCAAAGAGGCACAAAGGAGGAAATCTCAGCGAAATCGACCAGCCCTAGCTTAGGGTTTTCTCGCTCGAAGAGAGACGAAGTCACGACTCACAAACGGCGTACTCTCGGTCTCGGTTAATGGCTAGTTAAATGCCCTAAGAGGGTAAATTTGTAAATACGAAAACGGGTCGAAACGGGTCACTTTCGGGTTACCCGGGTTGACCCAAACCCAACCCGAAATGGCATACGGGTCAAAAAACAGAACCCGACCCTAACCCGAATTTCTCGAGTCGTGTTTTCGGGTCGTGTCAACTGTTGACAGGTCTAGAGAGAGGAATGTTAAATTTTGAATTTTGATCATCTTTTAAACATTTTGCTTCATTGTTTTTGAAGGGTTTTAAAGTTTGGATTATAATTGATAAGTCACAAAAAATTGTCTTGATTAGACACGAATCTTGAAACATATATGAGTTGGTAATGACAATTTCTTTGATATGAGGAAGATGAAGAACCTAGGGCTGCAAGTGAACCAAACGTTCGGCGAGCTACTCGTTGTTCAGTTCGATTAAAGCTCGTTTGCGACCGTTTAATTAACTAAACAAACAAACTTGAACAATATTTTAAATACTCGATT